CCCTGCCCACCCCCACCCGCCCATCCCTGCCCCTGTGGGCGCTGCGCAGCCTCAAGGGGGCTCTGGAGCTGTGGGGGGAGCGCCAAACACGCCCGCTGGACCCGCTGCTGCCCCACAGCCTGGAGCAACAGGGTGGGGGCCAGGATGGGGAGGTGGAGGGTCAGGGTGGCCCAGCCCCAGCTCTACTGGGGGGGAAGTGAGGGCAGGTTCAAAGGCCAGTCCTTATGCAGCCTTGCCTCCCCCAGCCCCAAGTGGGGAAATAATGGGGAGAGACTCCCTGAAAATCCAACCCTTACCCCCCACCTCCAGCTGGCCCCAGCCCCCACCCAGTTCCCTCCTTGCTCCGAGGTTCAACGTGTGGCACTTACCTCCCGGGGCTCACACACACACACACACGTTGTGGGGGATTTGGTTTTTGTTTTTTAAAAAACACATATATAAAAAAAAAAGATATATCAGAAACAGAGGGAGAAGAGACATTGCTAATGTCAGGAGTTGGCAGGGAGGGGGACAGACAATGGAGGAGGGTGGGGCAGAGAAGTGAGAGAGGGCAGCAGGAAGGCAGAGGCTGGAGGTACTCACAGTGCATGTCCCGCTCGTGCTCGTACTCGATGAAGGCGTAGCCGCGGGGCTTTCCCGAGCGCTTGCTGTAGACCATGTGTATCTGCAGAGAGGGGCCAGGTGAGCACGAGGCCTTCAGACCTGCCCTCTGTCCCTCAAGAGCTCTCAGTAACTCTCGCTCTAGCTCTAATGATGAAAGCAACAGACACGGAAGCAGAGGGGCACAGAGGGGATACTTTGAAAAAAGGACACTTAAACTAAGAACTAAAAAGAGATGAGAAGCGAGGCATCATCTTACAAGTGCAGCAGGAGGCACTCCAAGGAATAGGCCATGGGAGGCACTTTAGTGAGGAAGGAAGGTATTGATGGTGGGGTTCCTGGGAAAGTGAGGCTTCAAAGATGGACAGGCACCAGGGCTCCTAAGTGTCCCCAGTGAAAGGTTGAGTATGGACTCTGAGGAACTGAGGACACTGAGCAAAAAAGGGTCAATGTGGACAAGCCACTGGAGCTAGGGTTAAAGCAGAGGAGTTCTGAATACACTGAGCAGGGAGCTCCAGGGCAAGAGAAGAAAGGGTGCTACAGACACACCCCAAATGCACAAGGTAGAAAGGTGGCCAGGGAGCTCAAGGCACCATAGAAGGGGTCTTACTGAAGGGGTGCCAGCAAGGGAAGGATATTGGGCAAGGTGTGCAAGCCACCTAGGCAGCTGAAGGCCAAAGGGCAAAGGACCTGGAGGCCACTGATGAAAAATCTGAACCTCTGTCCCATGTGCTAGGAAGCCATGAGCAGAGGCGACAGGGTCCTCTCTGGGTGTCAGACCCCTCTAGGACCATGTGGAGAATGGACTAACAGAATGGTCTACACAGGATTCTTGGGATAGAGGGTGAGGATGAATCAGAAAGACATCTGGGAAATGACAGAATCTGAGTTGGTCCTCAAAGGTAGGACATCTGTCTACTCACATCGCTACCCTGAGCTTACTGCATTTTAGGACTTGATTGCTACAACCCTACAGCCTCCAAAATCAAACTGAGATTCCAAACTGAGCAGAAGTGGGATCAAAGAAAACCAGAGGCCGGAAATCTCAAGGAATCCAGTGCTATGAGAGCCGGTGCCAGGGGGATGTCAGCAGAGCCCACTCATATCCAGCACCAGGCTTAGCAGCTTCACATGGTCCACTGGGGGTGTCCACCTTCCCAGAGAAGGGAAGAAGACGCAAAGCTCCTGTGGCTTCAGTTAAATGAAGAAATGTTGGATATACAAAGCTTTGCTCTAAAACAGAAGCCAGCAGACCCAGCATGGTGGTATACATCTATAATCCCAGCACTCAGAGGCTGAAGCAGGAGGATCACTGTGAGTTCCGGGCCAGCCTGGGCTTCATAGCAAGTTCAAGACAGCCAGAACTGCATGTTAAGACCCTGTCTTAAAAACATCATGTAAATTCCAAGACCTGTCATGTGAAGGTACAGGATCCCAGTAATGAATGTAACTGTATTGTACACCTAGATTGTACCAATAAACTCAATAAAAAGAAAACAATTTTTTTAAAAATACAAATGATAAATGTAACTGTACTGTGTACTTAAAAAGTACCAAAAAAACTCAATGAGAAAAACAAAAAACATCAAGTAAATAAAATAAGAAATAAAAATAAAACAGGAACCGACAACAGTTTTCAGTAAAGGGCCAGCAAGCACATCCCAGCCCTGAGGGCCAAATAGTCTATCATAATCCAACTCTGCCTTCCACAGTAGCAGCCAGATAACATGTAAACTAATGTGCTTGCCTGTGTATCAACAAATCAGCATTTACAAAGAGCTAAGTGTATAGTTTGCTGATACTTGCTCTCTATCAACTAAGTCATTCATTACTTCTCATTTTGCTTCTACTACTTAGGCTACATGAAAGGATAAAAATCCTGCAATGGAGGTGCTACCTTCAGGGCTAGGAGCCCAGCACCCCCCACTCTAGGATACTTCCCCCAGCCCCTGCACACACACACCCCAGCCTAACCCACTTACTCTTTTGATGGGTCCATACACTTCAAACTCTCTCCGAAGCTTGGATTCTGTTGTGTCATAGTTCTACAAGGAGACAGTTTCAAAGTTAAGGGAGAAGGAAGCTGTCTTGAAGCCTTTGAGCAGTCCCCAGACAAGCCTACAGTTCTGAGAGACCCAGGAACTTGGCAGGTAGGGGTTCTGGGGCTGGGAGCTGCAGACTCACCACTCTGGCCACGAAGAGAGTCTTGAAGGCATCACCCTGAGCATTGGGATCATTGTGTGGATCCCCTGTGTAGGAAGAAGACACTCCATAAGGTTTCTGTATCCGCAGGAACTAAGACAGATACAGACAGATGGACAGAGGCCATGGAGACAAAGAGAGAATTGGGGGAGGCCCCCTAGAAGAAAATAGCTGGTGACCTGGCACATCCTTCTAGTTTCCCTAAAGCAACAGCCTTTACTGGAACAACAAATCATGATTAGGGTGCCAGAATGAGCTGACTTCAAGCTGAAAGGATGTGGCAAGCCTGAGTGGCAGCCTGAATGCCGGACAATCCTATGTACTCTACAGGTCCCACCCCTCCCAAGTGCAGGAAGCCCAAGTGGAGAGACAGCTTCATGTGGAGGACTGAGCTCTCTCCAGCTCTCTCCCTCACTTCCTCAAGCCAAGACACACTGCCACCTATGGGACATAGTCTGCAACTACAGCCCAGGGAATCCTGAGATCAAGCAACTGGAGTGCTGGGGTTACTAGTGTGCCAAGCAAAATAAAATAATTTTAGATTTGGATGTGTAGCCCAGCATGTGAGAGACCCTGGTTTCAATCCCCAGAATTACCAAGAAAGCAATTCCTGTTTGGTCATGGTGGAGCACTATGGGAAGCTGACACAGGCAAGAAGATCACCAAGTTCAAGGGCAAACTGACCAAACTTAGTGAGACCCTACCTCAAAATAAAGTTTAAAAAAAAAGGTCAGGAGTATAGGGTATAGTTCCATGCAAAAGCCCAGGTTCAATACCCAGTACTGACAAGAAAAAAAAAAAGGAGAGAGAGACAAGCAAGAGTTCCCTAATGCTGGACCAAAACTTGCAATCCTCCTGCTTCAGTTGGGATTACCTCCTGAACAGTTGGAATTACCAGTGACTTTTTTTTTTTGTACCGGGGATCAAACTCAGGACCTTGCATTTGCAAGGCAGGCAGCTGCACCACTGAGCTTAAACCCCAGCCCAACCAGTGACTTTTAAGGAATTTCTTAAAAACCAGCAGTCTAAGGTCAAACTTAAGACAGCAACTGATGGATGCTGGGGATTTAGTTCAGTGGTTCTGCTGCCTGCCTTGTTAAGTGCAAGGACCAGAGTTTAATCCCCGGAGCAAAAAAAAAAAAAAAAAAAAATCAAAGA